GTGACTTCTTTAATGGTCACTTGCTTGTCCGAACCCTCCGGTTTCGCTGATAACTTCTTCCCATCTTTTTGGAGGGCGGCGCTCCCCACTTTCAAATGCCTCCGGAAGCGATCTTTGGGAGGCTCCGGAAAGGGATTCGCTGCCATGCAGATGTAACAAAATTTGTCTTTCCACCCCTTGTGCGAAGAGGGGACCTCGGAGAAAAGCCTCCACTCTGGTACTTGTTGTAGATTGGCAAACCTCTCGGCATGAGTGTGCCCCCCTCGGCATAAATTGAAGCATAGAAAAAACAGGTCCAACGAGGGATCGACCTTCCGAGAGCGGCATAGTGACAGGAAACCAGCAATATAGGAGTGGCTGTTGGGGTTGAGCTGACAAGGGACCAACTTCACGAACCTCAAGTACTCCAGCAGAAAAGGGTGAAGGGGAAAGCGGAGGCCCAGTTCCAGAGACAGCAAGTGAACCGCAAAGCAGCCTTCGGGAGCTTGCGAGAGGATGTCGTCGGGCTTCGGCTCTATGACACGCGTCTGGGGTCCGACGAGGAACTGAGCCGTCAGATACTCCGATTGGAGGGCCCTCGATTTCAAGGCCAGGGCAGCAACGTTCAGGTAAGAATAGCCCTCGGGAATGCCGACGGGTTTCCCCGCATCCACTGCGGCCTCCTTCTTCTTCTTCTTCTTAATTAGGGCCGGCCCCCGTCTTTTTCTTCCGCTTTCCGGGGACGACGCTGATGGGTTCCGGATCTAGGGGCCGGGAGCTACTAGCTTCGCCGGCACCACGAAGGGGGAGTCCGGCGACGGTCACCTTCAGCCGTTCTTTCTCCTCCTCTTCCTCGGCTACTTGAAGCGCGAGAGCAAGCTCTTCATCTTCCACCACTTGCTCGAATTCTTCCGCTTCCAGCTCAGTCCGGAGATTACTCTGCACCTCTTCGGCTACCGCGGCATCATCGCCAGCCGATGACTGTCCAGTCGAGGACTCCACCTCCGAAATGCTCTCATCTTGTACCGAAGGCGCCCTCGAAATATTCTGCGAATCACTCTCGGAGGACATGTTCTCAACAGGGAGAGACTTTTGCCGAAGGCTCCTATGAATGCACTAACACTAAGTCTAAGGGAATAGCAAAAAACGCTAAGTACGCGAGTAGCAGGAGGATGCACTAACCTTAAGGGAGGATTTCGGTCGAGGGCTGAAGTTTCTCTCACTAGAAAATTGGGCAGAGCTTCGCTAGAGAGATTGAATGCGCAAATGAACTAAGCTCCGCCTTGGGGTATTTATAGGCAACTGGGCCTCGAGAACTGGGCCTCGATTCGAAAAGCCCATCATTACGGGCCGCCGGTTCAGCCAATGGATGGCACCCGCCCCCATCAGCTAATGAGGACACGCCACGTCAACCCCTCTCCCAACGGCTATATTACAACGACTATATTTCGACAACACTGGGGTGCCCTCGAATGGTAGCCTCCGGCTATCACTCGCCACACCCTTCTGCCAGCAAATTTCATCAAACGCCTTCGAGCTTGCGGCAGCGTAAGCCCCCGGCTTGTCAATATTGTCACCCCTCGGGTTCTCATCAACTCATCATAACTCCTTCAGCCCGAACTAGCCTTCGGCCTAAAGGAGTGGGGACTAGGATACACTCCTCGGGCATCACAACAGAACAAAATACAAAATTTCCTCAAGCAGGAATCTACGATTGACGCATACAGCCTTCGGGCATCAGAGCAGAAACCCTCGGGTACATGCTTCAATGAAATACATCTATGCTTCCCTCAGAAAACCCTCGACATGTGAGGGACTAAGGGGAGCCCCCGTCGGCCCTACAAAGGTGATGTATACCTTCCCTGAGGAAACCCTCGATATGTGAGGGACTGAGGAAAGCCTTCGGCAGTCATACAGGTATCACACTTCCCTCAGAAAACCCTCGACATGTGAGGGACTGAGGGAACCCTTCGGCCTTCAGCAGAAGACAAGTTCTCCAGCAAAGGCACCCAACGAAATGATGAAGCCTCCGGAAGAATAAACACAACTACTCCTTTTCCCTCAAGTACCTTTCGGCAAAAGGAGTGAGGGACTCCTGATGGAGTATATGGCCCAGGAACCCCCGGCCCATAGACTCCTACTTCTCCTACACAAGTCCATTGAGCTCAGGAAACAACTCAGGCCCAAGTACAACGGCCCAAGCATCAAAGTAGCCCAGAACACACACTGGGGTGCCTTCGGCTTCCTTAGCCGAAGGCTCCAAAACTCACAGGATAGCTTTTCTGGCGTAAGAAGCCTCTGGGAGAAAAACGACAAAAACATGAGCCTTCGGCATTATCAAGCCCTCGGCATCAGAGAAGCCTTCGGCTGAACCTAGCCTTCGGTCACACAGGGCCTTCGGCTACGCAGGGGGCCTCAGTCACGCGGAGCCCTCGGCTACACAAGGAGCCTTCAGCCAACTGCTCAATCATCGAAGATTCCTTTTGGGGACAGCCAACCACCGCATTTAATGCCGCGTCACATCCGCCAACCGCATTAAATGCGGCGAACGTACCACTGCCGGTACCACCCGGCTGATGTGACCCTTCGGCCGTTGGATTACTGACACGTGTACACTCATCGCATTTATTGCTGCTATAAATAGCAGTCCATATCTCCTTGTAAACGATCCCGGATTCAACTCCATATCTCGAGTTCATTTAATAAAATCGACTCTCTCTCCTCCTATTTTACTCTGACTTCTCTCTAGTTATTCCCTCAATAACCCCTCGGATAGGATACCCCCCGGGTAGACAATCCATCAGTACACATAAGTACTGAAGGAAGCACTCCAAATAGTCAAGAACTTCAAAGAAATAGACATCGCAATTAGCCAAAGGAATAAGACACCATACCAGTTAAAAAAAAACAAGACAAATTAAAACATTGCTCACATTATTAAAGCTGGGTATCAACACAAACAAACTTACATTCACGGGACGATTCATTTAGCTTAAAAGTCGTGCACAAAGGCTCAATATAATGAGGCTCAATACAACTCGCGCTCCTGAACACATTGAAGAAAAAGCCCAACACAGCTATCAAAAGGAGTAGCTCAAGCCCGAGCAGGTGCTAAAGATCCTACAGTTTCTGAAGGTTGGGGGAATATGACAGCTCATCAGGCTACTATTACATCAAGAGCAATAGTTGTTACTATGACCCGAAATCTGGCTTCTACTACACCACTGAAACGGTGAGAGCTAAGAGGCTATTAGCGGCTGCAACAACCTGATTGCTTCCATCAAAATAAAACCTACTCAAAGGAAAAACACCCATGACTCCCACTCCCTTATTGTAAGCAAAAATAACAAAAAACAAGCAACTGAGTTCGGAACAATAGAAATAAAACAGCAAAAATAAAAGTCCAGGTGATGGAGTTTGTAAACATCCATCCCTTGTGTTGCTCCCGGTGCGTCTTCTAGATGCCTGACAGGCAGGCATTGAAGCCCGCCCCCGTCCCGTTTTTTGGTGAGCCCGTCTCCATGTCCATATCCTTAGCTTTTGTGCACTTTCCTGAGTCTCATGATCTACCTGTCTACGCTTTTGATCCACCTTAACTCCATTATAAGCATGGTCCGTTCCCTGTTGCTGTTTTTCCCTCTGCATTTGAGCTTGCCATCCCAATTCCCTCTTCCTCTTCTTTTCCTTTCCCTCTGCCAATCGGGACTAGCCACTTGTTGCCTCCTACAGCTGTGTTTCCTTTTCTAGCTCTCAATTCAGGCCCATTAGGGAGTCCCCCACTTTTGCCTTTACCATCAGGGTAACGCGGGCAAGAACGTTCTGCATGACCAATGACTCCACAAACAAAACAAAAATTAGGTAATTTTTCATACCTGAACTTAACACAGAAACTTTCCCCTTCGTCAGATTGAAGAATAAGTTTCCTCTTCAAAGGCCTGTTCAAGTCAATACTAACCCTAATTCTCATATATGGGTTCCATTCAACAGAGACGTTCTGCTTGTCCACCTTAATAAACTTCCCTACAAAATTCCCAATTTTAATAGCATTGTCCACAGAAAAGAAACCATTGGCACATCATGAACCTGTAACCAAAAGTGAGCCCTATTCAACGATACCTTCAATGGCAAATCACCTTGCTTTAACCTAGCAAGCACAATAAGATTTTGATCGAAGGTCCACGGTCCTTCCTCCATAACACGAATCATATCATTTTCATTGTAAAATTGGAACATATACCTTCGTTCACCTATCTCAGTAATGGTCACGCCTCTAATAGGCTTCCAAACATTGGCTATAGTGTCGCCGAAAAAAGAGAAACGTACCGACTTTTAGGAAGTGATTGTTCCAACCAAAGTCAGCCCTATCTCCTCAAGCCCTGGAGCTTTAGCCACCACATGTAGGACTTCATCCTCCTCCTCCATCTCCAATTTTTCGTACTCTTTTGCCAGCCTGTTGATCTCCTCCAAATCATTGACATCAGCAATGGTCACTGCCTCTCTTTAGCTAGAATCGTGAGTGAAGCAAAATGAAGCCGTTCACCTAGCGTGCGAACCGAAGCAAACCACCAATCGCGTGTACCAAAGCAGTCCCCCAAACACACCCCTGTAACAGTCTTCTAGGGTTAAATCGTGCAACTCTTCCGTACCTGAAACTCCTCAAACTTTCTTGGCAATCTTTGTTAGCGAACCCCTGCACCTTCAAGCAAGAAAAATGTGAAGAAAATTAAACCTAGCCCCAACGATTGCCTAGAAATCGCACGCTATAAGATAGCGGCGATCCCAATAGCCGTGGCTAGAAGAAGAAAACGTCGAGCGATTCAATCGCCGACCCCCAATTGCGCAGACCCTGATTGTCCCATACACTATTCACTTGGTCAACACAAATTACTTTTAATTTTTTTTCTAAAAATAATTTAAGAACAGACAGAGATTTGTTTGCTTTATCGTCGGTCAAACATCGTAAATTGAATTGTTTCAATCTTAGTGGGACGGAAGTAGTAGTAGCCAGTAGGTTATCAACTGGTTTGAGTCCAACAAAAGAAGATGTGGTGATGCAAAAATGAGATCATACTTGAATAAGGTAGATGCCAGATGTGAGTTACTATGAAAAAGACCAATAAAAGATGAATTTTTTTTGTCAATTTTTCCTTTTTTGCATATATTTTAAACTTTTTTTTTTTATCGAGTTCTAATTTTCGGGTCCCATTTTCAATCACATTCGTGTAATTCGTTCAGTTTTTTTTTGCATGGCCGTTCGGTATTTTTCAATTCTGTTTTCCATATTTCTGTTCGAAACGCGTGCCCTACTTAATCATGGGTGCACGAAGCAATCCCATCGACGACAGGCCTATAGATTCCAACCCTAAGCGAGCTCAACGATCGGCCCCCTCTTCAACTTCAACTTGCGGCGTCTAATCGGATCGGCTGTCCGGTAATAGGAATGATGAGGACACATGAAACCAGACGGGGGAGACAAGGCAAGAGGCAGAAGGTCGATCGCCCGGGAAGGACTCTGTTTGTTCTATCACTAGAGCGTCTGTTTGTGATAAAGAACATCGAAAATGCCGTTGAATCATATTGTTCGGTGACGAAGCTACCAAATGAGTGCATGGGTATGCTGGAATTGGAGTCCAAGATTTTCCGTGTCCATAGTTCCTTCGAGAATCATGCCAAAGATGAACGAGGGGAAGTTAAATCCAATTGTCCAAAAGTTTGGAAGCAAGATATTTGTACTGCACAGGGGCCCTGCCATCAATTTGGACGAGTTGAATGGGGGATACTCAACTAGAGCTTTTGAGTGTTTCGATTCTGCTTTTCCAGAAAAGGGTTGGGTTGTGAAATCAGGTGTACCCTTTTTGTATGATGCCTGGGACTATGGAGGGCATATCGTGCATGAGTTCCATCGAATAGGGTAGAAGCTCTACTTGACCGCCGTGAATGGTAAAGGAGAGAGGTTTTATGTTTTCGATTTCAAGACAGAGGAATGGTCAAGGATGAATGTTTTTTTTGTGGGAAAACATAGGTGTATGGGCTCACCAAAGTGTGTTGTCTCAGCTCCTGGTTTAGATGATGACACGTATGTTGTTTTTGGATTCCTAAATGTGCACTCTCCAAAATTTCGAGCTGAGCTTTTCACGCAAGGAAAAGGATGCTCCTGTTATCAAAATGTGCACGGCATCTTCAACTTGAAAGGATTGGGAGGGGAGGATATGGGCTGCACATTTGTTGAGATGGGGAACGGAGACTACTTGGGCCTGCTCACTGCTTGGGAATTCAAAACAGGTGACTTTTATCTTCTTGTATCAACCTTTTCACTTGAGGTACTGGCTGCTCGAGTGCCACCCATCCAATCCCTCAATGAGCCTATCAAAATGAAATTCTTAAGCATTAACCGCAAGAACCAACAGAAGTTCAAGATCCCTGGGGTTGATTTCTCTTATTTTGCTGGAGTTGCATGTCTTTAGGTATTGTTTGTACTGTTTCTTTTTGAGCATCTACACAATGCATGCAGTATATTTGGATTTGAACTCCTTAGGGTGTATTCTACGTTAATTAGTACTACCTTTTAAATGATTGGATTGACACTTATCTATCTTAATTGACACTTACCAGTTTCAACAATGATGAACTACTGTACCTTATTCCTTATTCTCATTCTCTCTGATTGGTAACAGTTTGTGTCATAATTATTAACCAATTGACAATTGATCAATCGAAAGTTTGGTAACAAATGGAACAAATGTTGGGTCCATTAGTGTTAACTCATACGGAGTAAATGCTTGCTGGTTCTGCAGGCCTATCACCTTGTCATTTTTTGCTGCCCTACAAGACTATGGCCGTGCTTAATTACTGCCCAAATACTACTAAATCTTGCAAACTGTGGTCCTAGGCCTTGTTTGGTAAATGGCAGCAAAAAATAGCTTCTTTGACCATAGTTAATGATTTTGACTATGCAATCAGCTAAAATTAGTGTTTGGCAAATAGATGGTTGGCTTGGTTTGTTTTGTTGTGTAGTAGTTAATTCTGCATCATTAGTATTGTTGGGCTTTATTACTTTACAGCCCATGTAATAAATGGACTTAGGTCCATATATGAGTTTGTTATGATGTAAAGACGGATATAATGCTTTGGTTGATGAATAACAGAAGTTAGTTGCCTCATTGATATATCTTTCTCTTCTACGTTCGTTCAGTTTTAGCTCCAAGAAGTGGTATCAGAGCTTCAAGATCGGCCTGTGTAACAATGGCGAACGGAAATTTGCTCGGAAATTTGCCGATGCTGGACAGTAAGAACTTAGATGGTTATGATCGCTGGTGTATTAAGATGAAGACGATCTTTGGTTATCAGGAAGTTCTTGATGTAGTCCTGAATGGCTGTCCAGAAATCCCTGCTAATGCAACTGAGGCACAACGGGCTCAGAACAGAGACCTGAAGAAGAAGAAGGATTACAAGGCTCTATTCTATATCCAACAGTGTATTGATGACGCAAATTTTGAGAAGATATCTGGCGCAAAGAGTGCAAAAGAAGCCTGGGATACTCTGGCACGAAGCTACGCTGGGGTAGAGAAATTGAAGGCAGTGCGTCTTCAAACTCTAAGAAGACAGTATGAGTTGATTCAGATGGAGAAAAATGAATCCGTTGCTGCGTATTTCACTCGCGTGCAGACTTTGATCAACAATATGAAGACCTGTGGAGAAAGTTTCACAGATAAGGCGTTCGCTGAAAAGATTCTCAGAACCCTAAATTGCAAGTTTGATTTTCTAGCCAGTGCGATTGAGGAGACACGAAATCTTGATGAGATCAAGATTGAGGAGTTACAAGGTTCTCTTGAACTCTATGAACAACGAGCCAAGGAACGTGAATCTCGTGAATCCACTCAGGCTGCTGCTGATCAAGTTTTGCTTACCCAGTCCACAAACCGGAAAGATGAGAAGGAAAAGGGCTCCCGAGGCAGAGGTCGTGGCAGAGGGAGAACCACTCTGCGTGGTGGACGAGGTAGAGGCAGAGATTTCAATAACAGTAGATTTGAACAAGGTGAACCCTCTTATAAAAGAGGTGGTGGACGAGGAAGAGGAAATCCTTGGAGAGGAACTCGTGGAAGAGGTACGAATGATAGGCAGTATCATGATAAAAGTGGCATTCAATGTTATAACTGTGAAAAGTTTGGTCATTATGCAAATGAATGTTGGTGGAAACCACATCAGTCTGATAGAGAGCAGGAAGCACATGTTGCTAAGAAGGAAGAATCTGATGAAGATAATGTATTACTAATGGTAACAACTGACTCTAAGTCTCAGGAAAAATCACTTGATTTCTGGTACTTAGACTCAGGATGTTCCAATCACATGAGTTGTAGAAGAGAATGGTTTGCAGAATTGGATGAGAATGTCAAAAACAAGATCACATGTGCAAATATGACCACAATCATGGCAGAAGGCAAGGGTAAGGTGCAGATTCAGAAGAAGGATGGGAGAGTATCAATGATTTCAGATGTTCTCTATGTCCCAAATCTTGGGCATAACCTGCTAAGCTTGGGCCAATTGACAGAGAAGAATTTTGAGATCAAATTGAAGAATAAATCTATGGCGATTTACAGTCCTGAGGGTAACTTGATACTCAAAGCACCACTGATGAAGAATAGGACATTTCAGGTCAATATTACTCCAGTTCAGAGAGTATGTCTATCTACTGTGGTTACAGATGATAACTGGCTCTGGCATCTCAGAATGGGACATCTGAATTTTAAAAGCTTGGCTCAGCTCTCAAGTCAAGGAATGGTGAAAGGGCTCCCTTCAATTGCAGTAACCAGTCAGATATGTGATGGATGTATGGTGGGCAAGCAAGCTAGAAATCCATTCAAAACCTGGCTTCCTTCTAAAACACGTGATATTTTGGAGATGGTGTACTCAGACGTTTGTGGCCCATTTGAAGTACCATCCCTTGGAGGTAATAAATATTTCATCTCATTTATTGATGATTTCAGTAAGAAGATGTGGGTGTACTTGTTGGGAAGGAAGTTGGAAGTGTTTGATATCTTTGTGAAATTCAAAAATCTGGTTGAAAAGCAGACTGGAAAGTACTTAAAAATACTAAGGACAGATGGTGGGGGAGAATATGTTAATGATGACTTTGCTAGGTTTTGTAGAGAGCAGGGTATTATGCATGAGATTACTCCTCCATACACCCCACAGCATAATGGAATAGCAGAAAGGCGTAATAGATCAGTGTTGAATATGGCTAGAAGTATGTTAAAAACAAAGAACCTTCCACACAGTTTTTGGGGTGAGGCTGTTGCTACTGCAGTATATATATTGAATATGTGTCCCACAAAGAGATTAAAGAATGTTACACCTGAAGAAATGTGGTCTGGGAGGAAACCTAGTGTCAGGCATTTGAAGATTTTTGGATCTATTTGCTACAGACACATACCTGATGAGAAAAGGAGGAAATTGAGTGATAAAAGCGAGAAAATGATTCTGGTTGGCTATCATACTACTGGTGGTTATAAGCTTTATGATCCAAGTAGTAAGAAGATTGTGGTTAGCAGGGATGTTATTGTTGATGAGGCTGCTCAGTGGAATTGGGAGACAACTGATATAAGACAGACTGGGAATTATTGTTCATTAAGAGAGAGGTTGGCTACACTAGGAAGTGAGTCAGATCCAGCTCAAGAACTGGAAGTTGAGTATAATACTGATAATGATCAATACATGGATGTTAGACCAACCAGGAACAGGAAGAGATCAGTAAGGTTGAATGATTTTGAAATACTCAGAGATAATGAAATTGCTGATGATGGAGATCTAGTACACTTTGCACTATTTGTTGATGTGGAGCCTGTAACTGTGGAAGAGGCATGTCAGGATCCAAAGTGGAAAGCAGCAATGGTAGAAGAACTGGAGGCAATAGAGAAAAACAAAACCTGGGTACTCTGCACAATTCCTGATCATAAAAAACCCATTACAGTCAAATGGGTATTTAAGACAAAGCTGAAACCAGATGGGACAGTAGCTAAACACAAAGCAAGGTTAGTTGCAAAAGGTTTTTTGCAGAAAGAAGGGGTTGATTATAAAGAAGTGTATGCTCCTGTAGCAAGGATTGAAACAATCAGGACAATAGTGGCATATGCAAATCTGAAAGGCTGGAGTTTGCAACAAATGGATGTAAAGTCTGCATTCTTGAATGGGCCATTGGAAGAGGAGGTTTATGTTACACAACCACCTGGTTTTGTAATAAAAGGTGATGAAGGTAAAGTGTTTAGACTAAATAAAGCTCTATATGGACTCAAGCAAGCCCCTAGGGCTTGGAATAGAAGGATAGACAGTTTCTTTGACAAGCAAGGTTTTCTGAAATGTAAAGTTGAACATGGAGTTTACTCTAAACACTTGACAGATGGTTCACTCATTGTATGCCTATATGTGGATGATCTATTAGTGACTGGTGATAATGAAGTACTGGTGGAGGCATTCAAGGAAGAAATGAAATCAGAATTTGAAATGAGTGACCTGGGAAAGTTATCATACTTTCTTGGTATAGAATTTTCTTATACAGAAAAGGGCATTATGTTTCATCAGAGAAGGTATGCATTGGATATTCTTAGAAGGTTTAGAATGGAAAATTGCAACCCAGCCACTACACCAGCTGAATCAAGTTTGAAACTTGGAAAGAGTGCAGATGAAAAGGAGGTTGATTCAACACTCTATAAGCAGATAATTGGTAGTTTGAGATTTTTATGTCACAGCAGGCCTGATTTAAGCTATAGTGTAGGCCTTCTGAGTAGATTCATGGAGAGACCAAAAATATCTCATTTTAATGCAGTTAAAAGGGTGTTGAGATATGTCAGAGGCACTACAGACTATGGTGTTCTATTACCAGGTGTTAATCAGCTGAAAGGTGATGTTCTGTTAGGATATTCTGACTCAGATTGGAATAGAGACATTGATGAGAGGAAAAGCACATATGGGTATATCTTCACAGTTGCTCAAGCTCCAGTTTCATGGTGTTCTAAGAAAAGTGATTCTGTATCACTTTCTACCTGTGAGGCAGAATATATTTCAGCTTGTCATGCTTCATGTCAAGGTCTGTGGCTGAGATCACTCTTACATGAAGTGAAGCTAAGGGACTTAACACCAGTTGATCTAATGATAGACAACAAATCTGCAATCAATTTAGCCAAAAATCCTGTGGCACATGGGAAGAGTAAGCACATAGATACTAAGTATCATTTCTTGAGGGAGAATGTTAGCAATGGAAAGATCAAGGTGTGCTATTGTAGAACTGAAGTTCAACTTGCAGATATTCTTACAAAATCACTTGGTCCACAGAGGTTTATAGAACTGAGAAAGTTGTTGAATATATACTCAGTTTCATTATTAGAGGGAGCATAGTATATTTGTTATTTGATCTTGTTGTTATGCAGAATTAAGGGAGCATGTTGTGTAGTAGTTAATTCTGCATCATTAGTATTGTTGGGCTTTATTACTTTACAGCCCATGTAATAAATGGACTTAGGTCCATATATGAGTTTGTTATGATGTAAAGACGGATATAATGCTTTGGTTGATGAATAACAGAAGTTAGTTGCCTCATTGATATATCTTTCTCTTCTACGTTCGTTCAGTTTTAGCTCCA